AAGTGCAAAGAAACCCATGGTATTCTCTCCTCATTAAAAAAAAACCCCACCACCATATAAAACATGTCCTAATACTCTTTCTGTTCAAACATTCCTTTATCCGTTTTACTTACAAGCGAACGTTAGTCTCTGTAGCTATCTTGAAAGAAATCAAGTAATCAGAAGCAATCATCAACCTAAGCATTTCCTCTGCCTTGAGCAATGACTGTACTGGTTCATTTTAGAACAAACCCACCATTCAACTCGGTCTATAACAATTTATCTTAAACGACTCAAAGTAACCATGACATTCTTTCTATGAGCAGTATAGCTGAACATAATTTAAAGTATAAAGCAAAATAAAAGCCTAATAGATGTTACACGTTTTAATATTCTATCTGCTTGTAAAAAGCTGACATCCGTATAATCAACATAACTTAAAATATCAAAGGCTTCATTTAATCTTAGATAACTTCAGTTTACATTTCGTGTTTCACCAGTGGCACTGCTAGGTTCAGACCTAACTGTTTTGGTTTGGTCAGTTGGAAAATGCAATCTGAGAGACAAGAAGTGAATTTCTAGAGGTTGTAAAAGAAAACCTCAAATTTTCAATTCTAAGCGTAAAAGGTTAAAAAAAAATAAAATCAAACTATGTAAGGTATTAAAGGTAGTTCAGTTCTTTCTGCTGTTAATTTTGATGTTCCCACAGAACTTATCAGGAAGAGAAACTACAACCGATTTATTCAAAAAAAGACTTTAAAATATGTATAGATTTCTAACACGGCATATAGCTCTTTTAATACTTTTCAGAAGTCATTTTAAAATGAATACAAGTTTTGTTAAAGAGACCATTAACATTCTCATGCTGCTCTGAGAACCAAAACTTTATGGCAGTTGGCATACTAGGGGGGGGGACGACCACCTTAATAATATAATTCATTGTGCAAAGTAATTCCGAAGAAAAAGGAAACAAGGGTTATGTCTTCAATAATCTAAAATGCCATTAGAAAGACACAGGAAGAGATTTCTTAAGATAGGCTTTTTATTGTTTAGGTGCAGTCATAAAACCCTCACAAAAGTAAGAGCTAATTGACAAGGCGGGGGGGTCATTATTATCAAAAATCACCTTATTACGATCTTAAGTAGATGCATTACAGATGATGACTTCTTTAAATAAATCAAGACAAAAGAAAATAACACAGGAGGAAAACAACCTTCAGGGTTTTTTTGCACCATTACACATAGTATCGGTTCAATTTTAGAAAACTAGACCAACTAATAGAAACATTCACAAGTTACAGAGCATTTTGTTAACAGAAAAAGAAAACAAAATTAAAGATAACTCACCCAAGCCTGGTGTTTTCAATTAAGCAAGATTCCCTATTACACACCCACTAAACTGAATGGGAATTTTACTTAAGAATTTCAGGATTACACACAAAGGGTAACATCTTAACCCCACCGAAATAGAGGCAAAACTCCCATTTGACTTCAACAGAACTAAGATCCACCATAAAAAGTCACATCATTATTCGATATAATCTGTCATAAATATACTGGAATAAATAATTTACACTATATGAGAAAAATGAGTGCAAATGTCTCCATAAATAATGAAAACCATACACAGTTCATACTTTTTAAGCAAAAAAGCAGTCATAATTTAAGAACAAAAGCTAATTATCAGCAAGTAACAAGTTTTAACCAACCAGTAACAGTATTATTTTATTTACACATCAGATGAAGGCAAGTTTTTCTCCAATTCTTAAATATTTGCACACTTTCAGAACACAGTAAAACTAAATGAACCGATAATTTTGAGCAACCTTTTAATTCTTCTGCTTTGACAGCAGTTGCGGACGTACTCGCTTGCTCTTGCCACGACAGGATAGTGTGGACAGAGTTTTCCAAAAGCACAGCACTCCCTACAGCAGAGGCAAGTTACTGATAGCAGAGAGACAAGCTACACGTGAAAACCAGCCACCTTTAAATGATACAAATAATTTCCCTTAAAACACTTACCCACACAAAAACACATCTGCTGCTACAGACCTTCAGGAAGAATTCCAATTTTTTACACGTATTTTACACAAATCAAAATATTAATTTACTGAGAAGGTAATTACAAGAAGCTTGTTTGTATACCCTGTATCTCTGAGATTCTCCCGTTCTAAATATTAAATATATGTGGATTCTCCACTGTTTTAAAATTGCTAGAAACCTCTCTCGGTTTTCGAAGAAAGCTTCTCACTTCGCTAATACAGTTAAAAACAAAATTTGAAAACAGCGCAAGCGACTAAGTAAACAATGCTGATATATATAAGCTCTCTTGCGCAAACCATTAATTTTTACAAAATTAGATTCTCTCAAATCTACCTGAATTACTACCGTGTCAAAATAATCCCGCTTGTGCTCAAAATACATTTTCTTTAAACTGCGTATGTGTTTCTCGGAAAAGCATGAAATTCTTAGTAGTCTCCCCAGTCACAACGTTTGAAATTCAAACACACCGGCGCGACACTCGGTGATCTTCTCGGACGGTGGCAGAAGTCCTTCCGTAAACAAACTTCGGCGTGAAATCCCAGTGAAAACCAAAAGAGAAACTAGGAAGTCTGCAGAAGGTAATGACTTGATGCGACTTACACCGGTGAAGTCCTTCGTGACCATACGTCTCCTTCCCCCCATGCCACGACTCTTCCAGTTTGGCCCGCCACAAGCCCAATTAACCCGAAACCCTGTTTTTCGGT